CCCAGACGCGCACGAAGTACTCGACGCCGAACACCACGATGGTGACGATCTCCTGGGGGCGCGAGGGAGGCGCTCAGCCCGTGCGGGCCGGCTGCACGCTGGGGCCAGGGCTGGTCCGGCCTGAGCGGCGCCACGGGCAGGGAGGCCCCTGCACCAGCCTGAGCTCTCCAGAGGAAGGGCCCCCCACGGCCCCTCGGGGCCCCTCCCGCACCGGCGCCGGCCGTGCCACCCGCCCCTGCGGTGCGCTCTGGGGACTCAGCCTTCCCCAGCCCCTCTGCGCCCACAGTGTGAAGAGAACACCTCGCCTGCAGCGCCCCGCCAGGGGCAGGGGAAGCGGGGTGCCGAGCTGTCACGGCGGGGGCGGGCGCGGGGAGGGGAGGCGGCTCCTGAGCCGCGGGTGCAGCCCCACTCGGCTTCCCTGCAGGGGAGGCCTGGCGAGCGGGGCGGCCTGGAGCTCGGCACAGCCCGAATGTCGGAGGGTCCGCGGCCGGAGGGCAGCACCCAGGGCCGGGCCCGGGCTCCCCGCAGCGGGCACAGGCTCACCAGGATGTACAGGGCGCCCTCCGAGCTCTTCTCGTACTCCTTGATGGTGGAGAACACGGACAGCACGAGGCAGGAGAAGACCAGCAGGAACCTGGGGGCAGTGGTCAGGCGGGAGAGGGCAGTGGCAGGCCGCCTGCGAGCAGAGCCCAGCCCCGAGACCTGCTACCGGCACCCCGGGCTGTGTGGAGCAGCCCTGACTGCATGGTGCTTTGGGAAAGCTCCCCAAACTCTCAGAGCTCCAAGCAGGCCACACTCCACCCCTGAAACTGCTGCAGATGGGGTGCACAGCCCTGCACCTCCTGCACCCCCTGCTGCAGACAGAGGCAGGAAGGTTTGACTGACCTGGCCCCACAGACGACAACTGTGCGAGCCCTGTGGCGGGGGAGGGCGAGGAAGGCGCGTCAGGCCAGGTGCCCGGCAGAGCTGGGGCGAGGGTGCTGGGAGCAGAGCCCCAGGGGCCCCGAGAGGCGAGGGGCAGCGGGTCCTGGCCTCACCACCGAGCACGCTGCCCAGGATTCACGCCACCAGCCCCCGTGCAGCCGGGACCCCTGGGGGCACGTGCCAGGGCCCCCGGCCCTGCCAGCCGCCATCCCCACGCCAGGCGCCGAGCCCAGGCCTCGGCCAGACCCTGGGCGCCCGTGCCCTGCCCCGGCCTCCTGAGGGGGCCAGCCACGGTCACCGGGACAGGACCCCAGCCGCGGCCTCCGAGCATGGCCGCAGGGAGGCAGCTCCAGCAGCGACTGCGTGGACCGAGGTCGCCTCTCAAAACTGCACTTAATTTCCTTTGCTCATTAGCCAATTTACTCAATTAACCGAGCCCTGGAGGAGCGGCGTCCACACGCACGTGTCTTCGTGTTCATGGCCGCCGCCAGCCGCCCTGACTCGTCCCGCTGCAGGGCAGGGGACAGGGACTGCGGCCAGGCCCGGTGAGCCTGGAGCGGCCACGCCAAGGGGGCCGGCCGGCTGCGGGGCTGTGCGCCCGCTTGGGAAGCCGGAGGCCCCAGGGGGTGAAGAGGCTCCGGCGGCCGAGGGCCAGAGGGCCGTGTGACGGGTGGAGGACAGACAAGGCCTCTGGCCCTGGTCGCCAGTGTGGCCGCCGTGGGCTGGGGTCTCGGGATGGACACCCACACCCCTGAACCACCACGCAACGTGCCTGCAGGCAGCGTCCTGCGCTGCGAGACGCCCTCTGAAGGAAGGGGGCTGCCTGCCCACCCCTGGGGGCCGCCCACCCCGTCCTCTGGCCCTGGACCTGACGCCCCGCCACCCAGGACATCCCAGAACCGCCGGGCCCTAGCCCTTCCCAGAGTGGGCTTGGGTCGGAAGGAGCCTGGTGTGGGGAGCTCTGGGCCCGCGGAGAGCAGGCTCTGCTCCCCACAGCCCCCCACAGCCCCAGCAGTGATGAAGTGCCCCCACGAAGTGCCCTGACCACCCCAACTCTGTGTTGGAAGTTTTGGGAACAGATGGCCACAGATGGTGGGCTGCAGGGGAGGAAGCCTGACGGCTGGGAAGGACGGCGCCCACAGCAGTGGCGCCCACAAGGCCCCACGGGGAAGAGGGGGACCAGGCCCAGCTGCAGCCCCCACTCACCTCCCACAGAGGCCACGCCCACTCCCCCCAGGAACCTAGCAGGGCGCATCGCCAAACTGCCAGCGCCGCAGCCACCCAGGCCAGGAGGTGCATGAGTCGCCTGGACACCAGGCCTCTTCCAGAGGAGGGGTCCAGGCCCCAGCCCGGGGCGAAGGCCGCCTAGCCGCGCCCCCAAAGCCGCCC